TAAAAATATATTTAGTTTCTACCTATATATATTTGAAAAGTAGACCGTCCAAGGTTTCTGAGAGTATTTTTAAAATGTGTATATGTGTTATTTAAACGGTTTTGCGAAATTTCTGTCAGATCCCGCCGGCGGGATCGCCGGTCCCAAGGGGTTAACATTAAAACCACTGACAGCTGAAGTGAATAACATTGATTATCTCATTACAATGGTACCTGTCAAGGATGCCATTATATATTCGGCATGTGAACAGTCAGTTCTTGAAATTGATGTTTTGGAAGCAGGAAAAATGGGTAAGCATAAGGACCTGAACAACTTTGATAAGGGCCAATTTGTGATGGTTATACGACTGGGTCAGAACATCTTCAAAGTGGTAGGTCTTCTGGGGTGTTCCCAGTATGCAGTGGTCAGTACCTACCAAAAGAGGTCCAAGTAATGCCAACCGGTGAAGCAGAACAGGGTCATGGGTGTCCAAGGTTTATTGATGCACATAGGGAGCTAAGGCTAGCCCATCTGGTCCAATCCCACAGGAGAGCTACTGTAACACAAATTGCTGAAAAGGTTAATGCTGGCTATGATAGAAAGATGTCAGAACACACAGTGCATCACAGCTTGCTGTTTATGGGGCTGTGTAGCCACATGCTAGCCAGATGCCCATGCTGACCCCTGTCCACTGCCGAAAGTGCTTTCAATGGGCATGTGAGCATCAGAACTGAACCATGGAGGTGGTTTGGTCTGATGTCATGTTTTCTGTTACATCATGTGGACGGCCAGATGTTTGTGCATCATGTGTGTGGAGAAGAGTGCACCAGGATGCACTGTGGGAAGAAGGCAAACCAGCGGAGGCATTCATGTGGATGTTACTTTGACACGTACCACCTACCTAAAGATTATTGCAGACCAAGTACACCCCTTCATGGCAACATTATTCCTGGCTGGCTGTGGCCTCGTTAAGCAGGATAATGTACCTTGCCATGCTTCTAAAATTGTTCAGCAATGGTTTGGGGAACATGAAAAAGATTTCAAGGTGTTGACTTGGCCTCCAAGTTTCCCAGATCTCAATCTGTAGGATGTGCTAGATAAACAAGCCCGATCCATGGAAGCCCTACCTAGCAATTTACAGATCTTAGAATCTGCTGCTAATGTCTTGGTCTTGGATACCACAGGACACCTTCAGAGGTCTTATGGAGTCTGTGCCTCAACAGGTCATAGTTGTTTTGGTGGCATGAGGGGAACCAATGCAATATTAAGCGGGTGGTTTTAACATTATGACTGATCAGTGTACATGGCCTATCATATTTAGCAGTGTTTCAGTTAGCTCTGGATATTAATCCACTTTGTCCTGGTGGTGATGGAGAATGAATGTATGTATCATGTAGGATGACATTCTTTAATTATGTCTCTGAAAATGAGCTACCATATACAATTTGGGAAGAAGGTTTTGGAGAGTATTGAGTTTGTAGGGAAAAATTGTTCAATAATTTCTGTCTACCAATATGTAGGGAGACTAATTGTTATTTTATTATTAATTAATTATTATGCTTGAATGGTTTATTTCTCCAACAAACAGTCTTATGGAAGTTCCAATTAATCAGTTACTGGAAGATTTAGTTCCAGGATATGAATAGAACTTATTAATTACAGTATCACTACGTAACCTGGGTTAGAATGTTCGTTCCGTGAACATAACTCTCACCAGGTATGTAGCAACTCTGTGGCAAAACCACTCAGACTTGGCCATAAGGGGGTACCAGCCTACCCTCGGCTGGATCTTCAAAACAAGGCTCAGATAGTAGTTATTTTTGAGTTTCTAAATCATTAAGCCATAAAACTTGGAATGCTAGCCTTCCTTTGCCTTGTTATCTGAATCATCTTGGGTGTGTGTGTGGGTGTGGATTAGGATTATATTACATTGTGGGGACCAAATGTCCCCCACAATGTAATAAAAACCTGTTATTTTGATGTTGTGGGGACCATTTTTCAGGTCTTCACAAAGATCTGTCAATGCAGTCAAAAAAGACAAAATGGCAAAAGTTTCATAGTTTCTTTGGTTGCTTATGGTTAAGGTTAGGGCTGGGTAGAGGTTAAGGTCGTCAAGTTGGGATTAGGGTTTTTCCCATAGAAATGAATGGAAAGTCCCCACAAAGATATAATTACAAACCTCTGTATGTGTGTGTGTGTGTGTGTGTGTGATCCTACAAGTATTAGACAAATAAATTGATTTCAGTTTTACTGCTCATTTTAAATATGTATCAGAGGACATTGTTGCATTGAAAAAGCTATGTAGATATTTGTTCTTAAGCCAGAAATTAATAAACTGAATTTGAAAAAGGAAAAACACGGAATCAGTGAGCCATCAAATCTTGACATTTGCTATTGAATACCACGTTGCAAATCTTTTTTGATGAAATTATCCATTTATAGTAATGATTCCTGAGCTGTATGTCTGTGTATGTACTGTGTAATGGCACGTGCATAACTGTATGTTGATGACCTTCATCCTGATCCTCAGAACCTGGCGTGTGCACAGTGTTTGGGGACCCGCACTACAACACATTCGATGGGCGCACCTTTAACTTCCAGGGTACATGCCAGTACGTGCTGACCCGGGACTGCTCACCAGCAGCCGCCTTCCAGGTGCTGGTGAGGAACGACGCCCGCCGCACACGCTCTTTCTCCTGGACCAAGTCCGTGGAGCTGCAGATGGCGGGTCTCAGTGTAGGTCTACACCAGCACCTCACTGTACGCCTGAATGGCAGCCGTGTTGCCTTACCGTACAGTGCAGCTGGAGTACACATCAACCTGGACAGCTACCTACTTAAGCTCAGCACCAGTGCAGGTGTGCTGGGGTGGCCTTCGCTTTGGGTGTTAGGGGACAATTCTTGTCACAAACCATTTCCTATAGTGCTTTAAGCTAATGTAGTTTGTAAAATCTATGGCTGTTTCTCCCATTATTAAACAAACAGTAAACTTGGTAATATAATCTAGATTTGTTTTGCCTTGTATTAAAGTTTATTTGTTTAAGTGTTTATTTGTTGCTGTTTTATCCTGTACATTGAGGTCAGCTAAATATGGCTGTATCTCTTTCCCTTCCTGGAGCAGGATTGGAGGTAACATGGGATGGGGACAGCTTTGTGGAGGTGGTGGCTGCACCTCGCCTGAAAAACAGCCTCTGCGGTCTCTGTGGAAACTACAACGGGCACAAGCAGGATGATGTCATTGGCGGTGATGGTCACTTCAAGTTTGATGTGGATGAGTTTGCTGAGAGCTGGCGGGTGGAAAGCAATGAGATCTGTAATCAACCTCCACACAAGCCCACCCTCCACTTGTGCCCTGGTTTGGTCAAGGTCAAACTCCGTGCCCATCGTGAATGCCAGAAGCTCAAGTCCTGGGAGTTTGAGAAGTGTCACCCTATGGTAGACTTCCTGCCGTTCTACAGGTATGTGTGAAAGAAGAAATTTTGTGAATCGTTGCTCTGGACAGACTGTGGTAAGTCAGTCCCTTCACATTTAACATACTTTTGACTAAATCATGGTAATGAAGAAAAGTCAGCCCATGGATGGTGCTGTAACTGTAAGGAATAATGACATAACATTCAGATTAAAACAATGATGATAAATCACCCAAGTAAAGTACACCATGAATAAAATAAAAAATAAAAAGTCACCTGATCCAAAAGGGAGTGGGCAGGGGTTAATGAAAGTTTACCCTCCACCACAAGCCAAATTAATGGACTACAGCAGAAACTTGATGTCATCTTCAGCGTCATCTTAAAAAATTTCTATCACTACTCCCAGATGTACCCAGGGTATCTCCTGCCATGTGCCCTAACTAAGGCTAACACTAATGTTGGGTGGGCAGCTATGGAAAGTCGATGAATGGAAGTTTCACAATTAAGCTTCCAGATACACTCCATCCTTGGTCATTCTGAAGCCTGTTTGTTGACAGAAATGCTCTGTATTCTTAGTGCCATCTTATTTTGCTTCTAAGGTCCTGTGTCACAGACATGTGTGAGTGTCCCGTGCACAAGAAATGTTACTGTGAATCCTTCATAGCCTACAGCCGTGCCTGCCAGAGAGAGGGTTCGGCAGTGCTCTGGAAGCCTGAGCAGAACTGCATGGGTAAGGGGCATAAAACAATTGTTTAATTTTATAATTTAAAACAATGATCATAGAAACAATGATCATGTCCTGGAGAAGATAAGGATACTGGATGTCTTATGAGAGGTGTTTCACACTCACAAAATTTCTCTGTCTTGAGTCTATTGGCTAGATGCTATTTTTAAAAGTATTTTACTTCATAGTTCACAGACTTTAAGTAACTGAATGACAAACAGGGAACTGTACTGTTGCAGTAATGAATGTAACCAAATTAAATCTTGCATTTTGTACCTTTTTATATACATAAACATTCCAATTGTACTCATTCCTGCAGCTTCTGAAGATGAATAGCTTGCATACACTGTTTTTCTAACAGCACAATCTATATGCAGAACTAGGCTAGGACTGAAAACTTAAACTTAATAACATTAAATGATTCAGTTTAAACACAATAATGTTTTTGCCTTTTGCTTTTTTCTTCTAATCCCTTCAGCCACCCAATGCAAACACGGTGCTGTTTATGACACTTGCGGTCCTGGCTGTGCCAAGACATGTGATAACTGGAATGAGATTGGGCCCTGCAACAAGCCCTGTGTGGCCGGTTGCCACTGCCCCGCTGACCTGGTGCTCTTCCAAGGCCGCTGCATCAGGCCTATCCTGTGCCCTGGGCAGTGACACTGACTGCCACGGTTTTGCTGTGGATGGGGGGGGTCATGTGGGACAGTGGACTAGGATTTGTCTGCAGTGGGGGAGGTGACATACTGAAAGACCAGGAGACAGGAGGAAGACTGGGCATCTGCTGTTTACCTGCAACTACCTCAGCTAAAGTAACATGGCTGTGCAAACTTACTGTGACATAACTCCTCCCCACCACCATCATATCAGTACCACCAGAATGGCACATTGTCTCCCCGGAACTGTAGTCTATAACAGTACTTCCCTGAATAAAAGATCCACAGATGCCTGCCTCCACAAAGTAAAGGTAATATGCTCTGTGAGCTTAGGTTGTCTGTTGTTGAAATGGTGCTTTAAAAAGCAATAATGATAACATTAGGGAGGTGGAGCCATTATTTCTTAAGAAAATTTTAAAGATAATAAAAGGTTTGGGGAGCAGATGAAGTGAATCATCCAACTTACTGTCCTGAAATATAGCAAATGGTCCACCTAATTAATATATCACAACAAGAAGAATCTAGTCAACATATGCTTATATTGCCATTTTAATTTATGTATCATAAATGTACCATTGTAGCAAATACAAAATCATAAATATTGTGTTTTGATATGGGCAAATATATATTTGTCCTGACATTCAGTTCTGGTTTTTAAAAAGCTTTGTAGCAGTAACAAAGATTTTGTAAAATGTACAGAGTAATCTTGTGTTTATTTCCTTGTGGAAGATTTTTTTTTCTTGACAGTTTACAATTTGGCTCTATTCAGTGAAGCCACAGCCATTGGAAGTATTCTGATAATTTAAGGTATTAGTATCCAGTTCTGTTACAAATTAGAAGTATATATAATTAATGAGCATTATATGTAATCGTTTTTCATGTAAATAAAAAGTTATTGACTATACATCACATCATCCCATTCATTGCCTCTCAGGAACTCTAGTAGTGGCAATACAAATGGCTTCATGGGGTCTGAACCTCAAATTTAATTTATTGAAACAATTTCCTGATTTTGAGATGGAATTAAATGCTCATGCCATACTTTCTGTCCTACTACTGCACTTTTTGCACCTCCCATGGCTTTCAGATTTATGCTTTATTCCAATAAATGTTCTTGGCTTGTGAGTTTCTTAATTTCCCCCAGCAGTCTCATCTGATGGATTCGACTTAACAAAATGTATGGAGGAGAAAGGGTCAGCAAAAATAACACCTCCCATCACGCACACAACTCAGCAGCTCCCCAAATTGTATTTTTTATAAAAATAGTTATTTCTGTAAAAAGAACTACCTAATGCAAATTTGTCTTACTATTGTCTTTATCATCTTTTGCTGCCTTCTAAAAATACTCTCTTAATATTGTGATTTGAACCCGACAGCTGTTGTTTCATGGTCATTTGGTTTGTGTTATACAGTGGTACCTCAGAACTCAAATTTAATCCGTTTAGAACTCAGGTTCGAATTCTAAAAAGTTCGAGTTCTGATCGAATTTTCCCCATAAGAAATAATGGAAAACCAATTAATTGATTCCCGGCCCCCAAAAATTACACCTAAATATGTTTTTTTTTAGCATTTAAACACAAAATGAACAGGATAAAACAAGAAGAGCATATACTGTACTAAACACATCGAAGCACATTTATCAAAACAGTAATTTGTAAAGTAAGAATATAAATGTATCCAGACAATGTGTAAAGTTAAAAAAAAAAAAACAAGGTGTCCTGCCCCTATCGTCCGCTCCTTCCATGTGCCACGCCCCCTCATTAACCTGGTGTGGAATCCCCGTGTGATCAGCTGTTTCTGGTTGTTGTCATTAGTCTTCTGTATTTAGTCCGCGTTTCAGTTTGTTTCCCCGGTCTGGTCATTGTGTTGTCTGTCTGCGTTTTGCCTGCCTTACCTGTAATTAAACCCCATATTCCCCGATACCCTGACGTCTGCGCCTTTATATCCGTTTCATCCCGCACGGGATGACAATATTATTATAATTAAATTAGGGCTGTCAAAATTAACGGGTTGTTATGGAAATTTGGAGGTAGGAAGGAACAGATGAGTCCAATGGTTTAGCTTGGTTTCATTTATTGAGATATCTTTCTATGCGAGCTCGGGGAGACTCTCCACAGACAGTTCTGAGAAGTTCTCCAAATAGCAGACGCAGCTGCTTTCATTTTATATTGACAGACAAATGACCCTTCTCTGCAACCACAACCAGAAGACCCATGTCTGCTTTTGCACATTCTATGTGTAACCCAGTTGTTAAGAATGTTTTTTTTTTTTGTATTTCTTCATTATGTTCATGTATTAAATGTTGAACTTTTGAGGTAAAGAAAAAAAGGAAAATATTATGTTTGTATATGTGCTGTGTTGATATTTTGTATTATTGTAAAGCGGGCATGTTATAATTTATTCATGTATTCATTTGGGTGAGGTGTGGTCCAATGAACACTGAGGGTCAAGGTTGAGCGAGGCGCGGGAAGAGAGCGGCGGGGAAGAAGGTGGTGTAATGGCGGAGAACTGTGGCTGAAATGCGTAGCTCACGCATTTCATGAAAATAGCAATATCGTCGACCAGACGATGTATTAAGCTTACAGTAAGGATTCTGGTGAAAGCGAATTTCTACACGAAGTTCGGGAAAGCTAAGAACTAGCCTCCGAGAGTGACTCTTGCCTGACCGTGGGTAGAAGCCCACCAATCCACCGGAAGCTCCTGGATCGAACGCCCAGGGGAGAGACCGAGCGCAGAAGGGTGCACCGTGACCTGACTGCCGGATCCACTCTGCACGGGACGACACCCAGGGATATTGTGAGTGTGGTTTGCCTTATTTTACATTGCGCTTGTAGCTCACAAGCGTGAAGCAGCCTTTTTCATTTCTGTTTGGCTACAACGTGCCCGAGCTTCACAACAGGCCTGCACCGTACGGGAGTGGTGTTTTTTCTTTACTTGAATCTGCCGGCCATCGTTTATTTTATCTTTGGAACCTTTAGGGTTTTTTGGGACTTTTGCGTTTCGGTTTAAAGGGATGAAAAAGTATTATTTGCTCCCGAGTGAAATGTCTTTTATAAACTGTCATAAATGAGTAAATAGTACCATTTACGTTTGATTGTATTACTGTGTTGATTGTGTTCTTTTGTGTAAAGTGATGTATATATTTATGTTTGGGCTTTAAAGAGAATGGATAGGGAACCCTAAATACTAAAGGACTGAGGGAAAAGAACTCAGGGTAGCTCCCGTGTTACTTTTAATGCACAAAGGGGCGCTACATAAATTGGAGGCACCGCTGGGATCTGATTAGGGTCCCTAGCTAAATAGATATTGAGTTACTTTACAACTGGGAAAATAAAGTTTACTGGTGAACATGACGCATGCAGCTGAGTTGGTAGCAAAGCTGAAAGGTTGGTGTCGTGGTGAGGGTCTGTCTGAGGCTCATACGCTTATGGTGATCATCCCTGATGACGCGGACATCAGCGAGATTGAGGATACTCTCCAGACTGTGAAATGTTTGGGTCGCGTTCGTGTCCGAGGTAGGACTTTTGATGTGAAGCACAGTCAGCTGATGGCTTTGTGTGAATGCAAGGAGAACCTCAAGGAGGCGAATGTTCCAAAGGAAGTGCTGCCTATCGGTGGAGGGGAGCCCTGGCCTATTGTAGTAGTAGGTGAAACTCTGCCAGATGATACTGATGATTTTGGCCACAAGCTCATAGGGTTTCTACAGAAAGAGGGGAAGACCTTAGAGGAACTTGGTACTCTCTTCTCTGCTCCTGACCATTCCACTGATCCCACAGAAGCCATACTTCGTGCTGTTAGTGACCTGTTAGAAAAGGCCAGACCTTCCGTTGAGCCTGTTAGCTATCGCCGCGTACGTCTTTTCTCTGGGTTGTTGCCCACCCCAGCAGGTGAGGAGCCATTTGAGGTCTGGATGGAGCAGGCACGACTCATGGTGGAGGAGTGTGATTGCTCTGGAAAGGAGAAGAGACGGAGGCTAATGGAAAGCCTTAAGGGGCCGGCGCTAGAGATAATTAAAGCTGTGAGAGCGAGTAACCCTGATGTCCGTGCAGGTGAATGTTTGGATGCTTTGGAAGATGCATTTGGGTCAGTAGAGACTGGAGACAACCTGTATTTTGCCTTTCGCTTATTGCAGCAGCAATCAGGCGAGAAGCTGTCCGACTTCCTATGTCGCTTAGACCGGTCTTTGGAAAAGGTACAGTAGTTAACTTTGGGGACTCTCCTGTCTCCGAAGAATGGAAAGATCGAATTCGTCAGAAACTGGCTCAAAGACCTCATGTTTTTTCCATGCATGAATGGGATGTTGGGTTGGCAAAACGGGTGGAGCACAGAATCAGACTGTCTGACTCAAGACCCTTCCACCAGCGCTCACGCCAGCTGTCACCTGCAGATATTGAAGATGTGAGGAAACATCTGCAGGAACTCCTGCAGGCTGGTATAATAAAAGAATCTCGTAGCCCCTATGCCTCCCCAATAGTTGTTGTGAGGAAGAAAAATGGGACCATAAGGATGTGTATAGATTACAGACTCCTGAACAGCCGGACCATCCCAGACCACTACACAACACCTTGCATAGATGATGCATTGAATGCCTTGTCAGGTAGCCGTTGGTTCTCTGTTCTTGACCTGAGAAGTGGCTATTACCAGATAGCTATGGATGAGGAAGACAAAGAAAAAACTGCTTTTATTTGTCCGCTAGGCTTCTTTCAATTTGAACGGATGCCACAGGGGATATCAGGAGCTCCAGCCACCTTCCACAGATTAATGGAAAAGGCTGTGGGTGATATGAACTTGCTGGAGGTCCTGGTATATTTAGATGACTTGATTGTCTTTGGTAGGACTCTCAAAGTGATTGACCGCCTTGGAGAAGTAGGGCTGAAAATCTCTGTAGATAAGTGCCAAATTTGTTTGACACAGGTGAAATATTTGGGGCATATAGTATCTGCCAGTGGTGTCTCTCCTGATCCAGCTATGATTGAGGCAGTGACTAACTGGCTTCAGCCAACAAACTTGAAAACTTTACAGTCATTCTTAGGATTCTGTGGTTATTATAGGCGGTTTATAGCAAATTATTCTGCCATCGTTCGTCCACTGACAGAGCTCACCAAAGGCTATGCTCCAGTTCAGAAGGGCAAGAAACATGCCATAGATCCGTCTAAACAGTACATGAGAGAATCTGAACCCTTTGGTGAGAGATGGGATGACTCTTGTGTAGAAGCTTTCCATCAGATCACTTATTGCCTCTCACATGCTAAAGTATTGGCGTTTGCTGATCCCCGAAAGCCATACATTTTGCATGTTGATGCTAGTTTAAAAGGGCTGGGTGCTGTAGTATATCAAGAGCATCCAGAGGGCTTGCGCCCAGTTGCTTTTGCAAGCAGAAAATTGAAGCCATCTCTGAAGAATCATCCAATCCACCAATTGGAGTTCTTGTCTTTGAAGTGGGCTGTCGTTGATAAGTTCCACGAGTATTTGTATGGAGCTAAATTCACAGTACGTACGGATAACAATCCCCTCACCTACGTGCTCACGTCGGCAAAGCTTAATGCTGTCGGGCACAGGTGGTTAGCTGCATTGTCTGTGTATGAGTTTGATGTGCAGTACCGGCCGGGCCGTCACAATATCGATGCTGACCTACTATCTAGAAACATGCCTGAAGAAGACACTACAGAGTGGGTGACTATATCTGAGTCTGGTGTGAAGTCTATCTGCCAACGTGTCTGTGCTCTTGAATCCTCTATTAGCCCACTGAGGTATGTAGACCAGTTAGGAGCTTCACCTGACAGTGTTCCAGACATTTACGCATTTCCGACTCACTTAGAGTTGAAATCCTTAAAACAGATGTCAAAGCAGGATCTTAGAAGATCTCAGAAAGAGGATGCAACGATAAGGCCCGTTATACAGGCAGTTAAATATGGAAAATGGCCTGAGGATGACAATCTAGATCTAGAGCAGTCTCTGATGAAACGGGAAATGGGAAAATTAACTCTGAAAGGTGGTTTATTATACCGTTTGAGCAGGCGATCGTCGGGTGAAGTAGTCCATCAGCTTGTCCTGCCTAGAGAGTTCAGGGATGTAGTGCTGAGGGCAATGCATGATGATTTGGGACACCTGGGGGTGGAAAGAGTCAGTGACCTCATGAGAAGCCGATTCTTTTGGCCAAAGATGGCGGTAGATATAGAAGAATACATTAGAAACTGTGGAGAATGTGTCATTCGAAAGTCCCCTTGTCAGAGAGCTGCCCCGTTGCATCATATTGTGAGCCATGGACCGATGGATCTCGTTTGCATGGATTTTCTTTGCATGGAACCGGATTCGAAGGGCATAGGTAATGTGCTTGTGGTGACAGACCATTTTACGCGGTACGCCCAGGCCTTCCCTACAAAAAACCAGAAAGCTCATGTTGTTGCTAAGACCTTAGTCGAGAAATATTTTGTACATTATGGACTGCCTGCAAGGATCCATTCCAATCAGGGCAGAGACTTCGAAAGCCGTCTGATCAAAGAGCTCCTGAACCTGATGGGTATTAGAAAATCACGGACAACCCCCTATCATCCGCAAGGAGATCCTCAGCCGGAGAGGTTCAACCGAACCTTACTCTCAATGCTTGGCACTCTGGGTCAGGAGAAGAAACGCCACTGGAGTCAGCATGTGGGATACCTGGTTCATGCGTATAACAGCACAAAGTGTGACGCCACTGGATACTCGCCATATTTTTTAATGTTCGGGCGAGAGGCAAGACTCAACAACAACAACAACAAATTTATTTTTGTATAGCGCATTATCACAACA